TTTGGATCCCTTGTCGGAGATCTTCCGCGGCCTGGGAGAGATTCTTGAGACCTGGGTCATCCTCCCAGCGGCACTCTACTTACTGGGTCTTGTCTACCAGGCAGATCCGACCACTGGTCATGAGATCGACTAGAGCCGCATTGCACTTAGAAGCGCATGGATAATGAATCCCACCAGCCCTCTAGGCGCAGGTGGATTAACGATGTATGTCCTTTCTTCCCTCCTCGGGAAATCCTTCTTCCCCTTCGGGGAGGGGTTTGTCACTGTTCCTTACTAGTATACCCCCCCTCCCCCACGCGACCGGGGGCCACCCAGGCACCATGCGCGGCCAACCCGATGCGCCCCCCCACCATCCCTGTCAAACATACCATGCAACATACACTTTGGGGCAAACTCTTGAGTCATGCTCGTGAGGCCCGCGAGCACTTTGTATTGATTTGACAAGGTCGGCGGGGGCGTCAGCATGTTCCCTGCTGTGCGCAGGGCGACCATCCCTGACAAAAAACAATACAACATGCACCTCGCGACTAAACCTGGATCATGCGCGGCCATCCCGCGATCACTGTCAAGTGGTGTTTGAGAGGGACGGCGGGGGTGGTGGCGCGTGGCCTGCTGTGCGCAGGCCCACCAGGCACAATGATCGGCATCGGAGTTCGACAAGCATGGCGGGGGCCGACATGTTTCCCGATGTGTGCTGTCACGTGCGCAGGCGCACCTGACGCACTCTGCACGTGCCCCGAACGCAGCGCAACTGGCGCGGCTGGAGTGTGCGGCACACCTGGCGCACTCGGAGCACGTGGCGCATCTGGCGCACCAGGCGTGCCTGGCACGCTCGGGCCCCAGGGGTGCCTGGCGCGCGTGGCGCCCCCTGGCACGCGTGGCGGACCTCGCCCAAGCGTCGCGCACCTGGGGTCGGCTTTGGTTCCCAGTACCTGTCCATCCAAAGACGACCGATGAACTTGTTCAGGCTCGGGTGTTACTTCTGTGTAGGGAGGGCGGGTGGAGTGAGCTAGACGGCTTGCGGGCGGGTGGGTAGCTTGACCCCTCCCTCTACCCCCTCCCCTGGACCTGGACGGGGGGGTTCGCGAGCGGTCAGGGCGTCCAAGATAGCCTGAGATGGCTCCAAGAGGGCCTTCGAGAGCCCAAGATGGCCTCCAAGATTGCTCAAGATATCCCAACATGCATCAAGATAGCTAACGACATGCCTCCAAAAGGCCCCAAGAGGGCTTCAAGACGGTTCCAAGTGCTTTTGGCTACCCCTCAGGACCTCCCCGAGAAGCCAATTCCATTGAAACAGAAGGACAGTCACTGGTGTTTGCCGTCTCGCCTTTTCGCTTCTGATGCGCTTTTCAGGCCTCAAGATGGCCCCAAGATGGCCCACGAGAGCTCCAATTAGGACCCAAGAGGCCCCCAAGATTGCCCCAAGAGCGCCCAAGATCGCCCCAAGAGGCTATTTCGATGGCCCCGGAGGGGGGAGGGAAATCTAGGACCCACCCTCCTTTGATCGATGGTCTTTACGATGGCCCCAAGAGGCGCTCCACAGCCCCCAAGAAGGCCCAAAGAGAGCCCCAAGAGGGCGCCATGAGCGCCCCAAGGCGCCCAACAAGATCGCCAAAAGGACCCCAAGACCCCCCAAAGAGCCCCAAAATGGTCCCAAGATGCCCCAGAAGAGCCCGAAGATGGCTCCAAGAGCCGCCTTGCTCCCAGAGATCTCTCTGTTCATCCTGGTTGCTCGCTCTGATTCACTACATGTGTCTCTGCCCCTGTTTCCGCCAACTCTCAAGGTCAGGGTATCTGAATGGGCTGGTGCGGATACCTTTATCTTGATCGCGGCCGCGTCGAGAGAAGTCGGGCGGCGTCAAGGGCGCAAAGAGCACGCGGCGGCCTGAACTACGCGCACCGAGAAGGGACAAGACAGAAAAGAGAGAGAAAGCGGGGGGAGGAACAAACAGGAGGCGAACAAACAGGAGACTGGTGGGGATACGCGAAGCGTGAAAACAGTTGGTGCGTCGGGGCCCTCGTGGAAATGCGTTTGAATGCCTATTTGGATGCCGCGGAGGCCTCTAGGCCGACTTGAAGCTAGATTGAGTGATTCCGGGTTCCTTGGATCGCCTGCGGTGGCTCTCGTGGATCTCTTGGCCCATCTGGGAGGCGTCTTGGGAGGCCTCGTGGGCCGCCTGGGGGCACCGTGGGGCCGCATTGACACCTTCCTGTTGGCATCCTGGGCTGCCTTTGCCTTTGGGCGAGCTTGGTTGCCCCTTGGTTTGTCGTGGAGCGCGGGCAAACCGAAAAGGGAGAAACGGGCAAATCCACAAAAAACAAAAGACAACTAGTGAATTTGGCGTGTTGGGACCGCCCTGGGAATGCTTTCGGATGCCTCTTGGGGCGTCTTGGAAGCCTCTGGGGCCGACTGGAGGCGAACTAGAGCGATCCGGGGCTCCGTGGATCGTCTTGGGAGGCTCTCGGGGTCCTTCGGGGTCCTTTTGGCCCGTCTGGGAGGCGTCTTGGGGGCCTCGTGGGCCGTCTGGGGGCGCTCTGGGACAGTATCGGCACCCTCCTGGGGACATTCTGGGTAGTCTTCGGGTGATCTTGAACCCAAGGGCCCTCTTGGAGCGCGGGCAAGCCGAAAAGGGAGAAACTGGAAAATCCTTCAAAAACCGGAGGATGAACCATCTGGTGAGCTGGAGCCCTCGTGGAAGTGCGCTTGAATGCCTCCCTCCTGGGATGTCGTGGAGGCCTCTTGGGACGTCGTAGAGCGATTCGCGGCTCCTTTCATCCTCTGGGGGAGCTCTCGGGGTTCTCTTGGTCCGTCTGGGAGGCGCCTTGGACGGCTCTCGGGCCACTGGGGACAGTCCCGGGCACGAGGCAGCTGGGCGAAGGCACACGACCCTGTTCCCCGATACACATATGAAAAATTGTATACTACATATTTATATATAACATATACACTAGAACCACGCGAGCGCGGCGCTTCGTGCGCGCTTGGGTCCTAGCGCAGTCACAGTCAATGTACTGGAGTTGACGAGGACGGACATCATCCCACAAAGATCACCATCTGGGAGCGCACCCCCTGATGAACGCTTCAGGAGTCGTTGAATAAGCCAGCTCTGGGAAACCCTGCCGCTCTGAGCAGATACACCAAGAAGCTGCCCGACGGTAACCTTTGGGAGACTTCGGGAGTGTCGTGACCTGTGGACCGTCTTTCGCGGTCTTGAAGATCTTATTGGCGTCTGGAGGGCCCTTGGGACTATCTCGAAGGCCCCTTGGGAACCTTGCGGGCCAATGATATGGGACAACTCAAACCATCGAAGGGCTGCCAAGGTCAGTCGAAGCCGTATCGGGCGCGACGCTGGGGATCCCTTAGGTCGTGCAGTGCCGTACTGGGAAGCGTTCAGATGTTGCACGACATGCGGCACCAGACAGATGACGCGGCATACTCTTCTAATGGGGGCGACTTCCAGCACGACTTCGCCCCGGAGGTATGCGTGCTGGGCGATCCCCCCACTGGCCATCGCTCGGATGTCCATTCCCTGTGTTTTTGTCGGTTTCGTGCGTGTTTTTTTTTCCTCGAGGGTCCAGGATGGTCCTCGTGGCTTCTCGCCGAGAAAAAATGCACACGTCCAAGCGATGCCAAGGGAAAACCGTGCAAGGCGTCTCTCTGGATGCCTTTTGGGGGACGTTCTCCTAGGGCTCTTGGGGGTTTCTGAGGGTCTCTTCGGTTTGGGGTGGGGGTCTCCTGGTGAACTCGTGGGACTTGTGGGGCGCGCCTCGGGGGCCTCCCCGGGGCTCTTAGCGCCTGGGCTCGGCATGTGGCGTTGGCCCGAACAAAAAAATGACGTTAGGAAATCTGGGCCTCCTACCAATCAGGCAGGCCAGGATGATGGGTGATGGCGGCGGAGGGAGGAAGGAGCGAAAAAGAGATGAGGATTAAGGAGGGGGGAGACGGAAACGCATGAGGGAGGCGGAGAGAGGAAGGCGTAAAGGAGAGACGAGGAAGAGTGAGGGAACATGACGCAGCGGTGAGGAGGGAGGAGGAGAGAAATGAGAGGATTGAGAAGGGTGTGGAACGGGAAACGGAGGAGAACCAAAAGCAACCACGCGCACAACAAGAACGAATAACGAGCGGTGGGGAAAAAACGGAAACGCACTCTGGGGCACGCTAAAGCATGGGACTCCGACACTTTCGCACTTCCGCCTTCGACACGCCTCCGAGGCTAGCGCATGCAACACAAGAGAGCTCCAAGAGGCCCCCGAGGTGCGTTCCGAGCGGCTCTCTTGGGGGCATCTTTTGGAGCTCAGCTGGAGCTCTTTTGAGGGCCTTTCGGGGCCCTCTTCGGCGCTGGATGCCTCCAGAGCGGCTCCTGCACGGAGCGCGTCTTCGGACCCCCGGCGGTGCCTCTCCGGGTGTCATGGGGGACTTCTTGCCGACCAGCCACAACTGGGGGAGCTGTGGTCCTTACCCCCCTGGGGGAACCCATCGCATCGACGATCTCACGAGAGGGGTGTCGAAATAGATGGGTCCCCCAGGGGGGTAAGGGCCACAGCTCCCCCAGTTGTGGCTGGCCTGTCTTGGGGCCTCTGGGGGCCACTCCCCGCCGCTCGGGGCGCCTCCTGGCGGCCTCCTGGAGCTCTCCTGGGAGGCTGCGCGAGCCTCTGAAGCGTGTCGGAGGAAGCAGCGCGAGAACACATGGTTGCCTGTTGACCTGCCTCTCTCCCCTCCGCGGGCAAGGCGGAAGCAGACGGCCCGAACGGCCCACCACAGGCCCCCAGGAGGACCCCGAGAAAGCCCCCGAGAAGCCCCCCAACGCACCCCGGAGGCCCCAAGCGCCCACACACCTGACGCGGTTCGGGCATGCACCCCGCGAAGCGAAACGAAACCATGGCATCCATACATCTCTCTCTCTCTCTCTCCCTCCTTGCCTCCGTCCGTTCTTCCCTCCTCCGTATCCTTCCCTCCTCCCCCCCTCGCCCTTGCCTCCCCTGCCTGACCAAGGCCTGGCCTTGTGCTCCTGCTGCGCGATCTTGTGCGGCAGGTCGGCGATCTCCTTCGGAGGAGGGACGAGGAAGGAGGAGAGAAGGAGATGCGGGCAGGAGAAGGTGGGGGCCCACAACTGGGGAATCCCCACGGTACCGATACCGCTACTCCATGGACCTCTCGCGGGGTGGCGACGAGGCCCTCCCCCGAGGTCCAAGAAGCGGAAAACGACGGAAGGGTAGGCTCACCTGGACGTGGCTGCTTGAGGGCACCCATATACGCCCATCTGCGGTGAAACTCTGAGCGGACGAGGGCGGAAAGGCGAGACGGGCCTTCAAGGCATGCTCGCAAAGCGGCTGGGCCACCTGATTCCTGTGGCACCCTTCCGTCTGGCGAGGTATTCGCAGGTGATGAGGCCGAATGGAATCATGACGGCCACGACTGAGCACGCCAGGAGGAGGAGGAGGAGGAGGAGGAGGAGGCGAGGCCTCACTTGTGCTTGTCCTTGGAGCACCTTGCGGCATGCGGTGGACGGCACTGCACACAAACTGGGCGGCCAGGCACCGCCCGGCAATGGAGCACAGCACAGCGTCACATCGTAATCGTTTCGCAAAGGAGCCCAGCACAGCCCAGTGGGTATCGCAGTCGTGTCGTGCACAGCCTCAGATATCTGCACACTCGAGGGGCCAACACCTCTCGCTCCTGCCGAGCATGCCTCCTGCCCCCCTCCTCCCTCGTCCTCTTTCTCCTCCACCTCCTCCTCCTGCTCCTTCCCCCGCCCCCTCCTTTCCGCATTCCTGCCTTCTCGTCGTCGTTTTTCTCCGCCTCCTCCTCCTCCTCCTCCTCGTTCTGCTCCTTCCCCCTCCCCCTCCTTTCCGCATTCCTGCCTTCTCGTCGTCGTTCTCCTCCTCCTCCTCCTCCTCCTTCTCCTCCTCCATTTCCTCCCCCTCCTCCTGCTCCTGCTCCTTCCCCCTCTCCCTCCTTGCCTTCTCGTCGTCGTCGTCCTCCTCCTCCTCCTCCTCCTCCTCCTCCTCCTCCTCCTCTTCCGCGCAGTCACGGAGCGCGGGGTGCAGTCCCTCTGCTTGTCGTGCAATATGAGCCTGGCCGCGTACGCTATCTCCTCCTGCGGCCGGGCGGGAGAGATGCGGGGACGACCAGCGGAGAGCACAGACGGCCGCGGAGCCCCGGCAGCCGAGGGCACGGGCGAAGAGCCGCACGCGCCGGAGGCCAGACTTGCGCCGCTGGGGTCTCCACACCTCCCCGCTCCCCCCGCCTGGAGGCGGCAAGGGGGGGTCTGAACTGGCTCGGGCCCCAGACAGTCGGTCACTGGCCGTCGCTCGGACGTCCATTCCCTGTGCATTTTGTCGGTTTCGTGCGTGGTTTCTTCGCCAAATGATCAAAGATGCTCCTCGATGGTCCTCGCCGAGGAAAAATGCACACGTCCGAGCGATGCCAAGGTCAGGAGGGGGAGCAGGCAGGGCCGGGTCGAATCGAATCGGCCCGCAGGCGGACGCGGGCAGAGAGCCTCGGATCCGCCTGGGCGGCGGAGGACTTGCACGCACCACTGGACTCAGACGTCCTGCGCGCAGCCCTCGGCCTGCGCACGCCGGTTCCTGCGGTCCAGCACAGCGGCGTACCATGGTTCGCCAAACCGAGCGAGCGAGTACCTCTGCAAGTCTGAAGGGGCCCCAGGACACACAAATAAAAATAGGCCCCCATGTTTTCATATATTTTCTGGGTTTCTGTCTTCCCCCCCCCCCCCACTTCCCATATTTTCTAATATTTTCTGAGGAATCGAAGATTAATTGTGTCAGTGCTTTTTCCTCTCCTGAAAGTCGGCGCCCCACCGACATCTTGGACGACCTCGCTCACGGGGAGGAAGGGAGTCAAATCCCAGACCCCTCCCCGGGGGACCCTCGGTCGTAGCTTTGCAGCCCGAGTCCGTCTCCTCATGGTCCCTATAGGGGCCCGGCCACGGCCCCCCAGGGGCCGAAGAAGGGAAGAAACCTCCCTGAACCCAGAGCCCCGAACTGGCCGGAGCCAGTACTGGGCCACCTCAGACCCCCAGCCGGGACTCCAGGCCCCCTCCACTCGGGCCGGGCGAAAGGGGGGGATTGGGAAAGGGGGGGTTACGAAATTTGCTGCATGCAGCTAGTTTCGGCCTCACCGAGGGGCCCATTCCTCGATACATAGCCGCCTCCGGCGTCGGGAGGCGCCGGGAAAATCAGCTACGTGAGCTGATTCTCAAACCCCCCTTTGCTATCCCCCCCTTCCGCCCGACCGGATCCACCACTCGAGACGTCCACGGCGACGCCAAGGTCTAGGACCGACGGGGCCGACCGCGACGCCGAAACTGGCCGAAGCCGACAGGCCGCTGGCGGCCCACAGAAGCATACAGGCACGCAGCAACAGCGCAGCGACCGCCGGGCAGCCGCACGGACACAACCGAGGACATCCTCTTAGGGAACCCACGAGAGGACGTACGGGCCCCGACCATGAACATGAACACGGCCCCCAATCAACGAGATCGGCCTCGTGATACGAAAGCTCGCGCAGCGCGTACGCTCGAAACCAACTTGAATTGTGCACGTGCGAGTCCTTCCTTCACTCCTGACGGATGCCCCCGTTTACCATGGCCCCGTCCACAGCGCCCAGGGCCCCCTGAACGGGGGCATGGCCAAACGTGGAACTCCGCGTTCCCCGTGCCCCCGTTTGCTGTGCCCCCGTCTGTGGCGCCCTGATGGGCTGCGCGATGAGCGGCCCAAGACAAAGCAAACCACGACTGCACATGTGGCCGATTTCGGAAATTCCTGAACCAAACAAAGGTTTCATCTCTTTGAAGGGGCCCCAGGACACACAAATAAATACACACAAATAAAAAGATCCCCCATATTTTCTCATATTTTCGGGGTTTCTGTCTTCCCCCCCACTTCCCATATTTTCCCATATTTTCTGGGGAATCGAGGATTAATTGTGTCTGTGTGTTTCTTTTCCTCCTGACTCTCGGGAGGTCGACTTTTTACCTCCGCCGCCGTCCGCCGGCCTTCCGCCGGCGGAGGCGGCCTCGCCTCACTTCCGCCGACCTCCCGCCGCCGTCCGAGGCGGAAAAGATGGCACCCCATTCTATCCTCGAAGGCAAGGCCCTGGCATCAAGTCGGGCCTGTCCCCCTACAGGCGGATTTTGATCGAAACATTAGACAGAGTCAACCAATAATTGAAGCATGCGCAAACATGGACATCAAATCGTCACCCTGTATCATTCGTTTATTATTTCCCAAACATCATGTGGTGTTGGGTCATCGTTTTGAAGAGAAAGCGCCCCGCGTTGCTTCCTTCCTTCTGTCCTTCCTCCTCCCCCTCCTCCCTCCTCCCCCTCCTTGCCTCTGCCCTCCTCGTTGCCACTGTCATCATCGTCATCGTCATCATCATCATCATCATCATCATCATCATCATCATCATCATCATCATCATCATCATCATCATAATCATCATCATCATCGTCATCATCATCAGCATCATCATCATCATCATCCTCCTCATCATCATCAACATTATCATCATCATCATCATCATCATCATCATCATCATCATCAGCATCAACATCATCATCATCATCACCATTATCATCATCACCGTCATCATGAGCATTATCACCATCATGGCCCCATGGGGAGCTCTACCCAAGGCCCTAGCGGCGGTGATCGCATGCGTCTCCCCCACCCAACACGGCGCTTCGGGACACCACAGGATGCCCCTCCTACGGCCCGGTGGCGGTGTTCGCATGCGTCTCCCCCCCCACCCAGCACAGCGTTTCGTGGCCCCGTAGGGAGGCGTTTCCCCCACCAGCACAGCGCTTCGCGGCCCCATGGGGAGCCCCACCTAAGGCCCCAGTGGCGGTGTTTGCATGCGTTCCCCACACCCAGCACAACGTTTCGTGGCCTCATATGGGGCCCCACCTGAGGCCCCAGTGGCTGTGTTCGCATGCGTCGCCCCAACCCAACACAGCGCTTCGTGGCCCCATAGTGAACCCCATCTAAGGCCCCAGTGGCGCTGTTCGCATGCGTCCCCCCCCCACCCAGCACATCGTTTCATGGCCCCATAGGGAGCTCCACCTAAGGTCCCAGTGGCGGTGTTCGCATGCGTCCCCCCCACCCAGCACAGCGTTTCGCGGCCCCATAGGGAGCCCCATCTAAGGCCCCAGTGGCGGTGTTCGCACGCGTCTCCCCCACCCAGCACAGCGCTTCGCGGCCCCATAAGGAGCTCCACCTAAGGCCCCAATGGGTGCACTCGCATGCGTCTTCCCCGCCCAGCACAACGTTTCGTGGCCCCGGGCCCCACCTAAGGCCCCAGTGGCGGTGTTCGCATGCGTCTCAACACCCAGCACAGCGCTTCGTGGCCTCATGTGGAGCTCAACCTAAGGCCCCAATGGCAGTGCTCGCATGCGTCTCCCCCACCCAGCACAGCGTTTCGCTCGCATGCGCCTCCCCCACCTAGGACAGCGCTTCCTGGCCCCAGGCGAGCTCCACCGAAAGCCCCAGTGGCTGCACTCACACGCTTGTCCCCCACCCAGTACAGCATTTCGCGGACCCACAGGGACCTCCACATAATGCGTTACTCACGAAGACGGTAGTCACAACTGCATATGGTTGGGTCTTTCACCAGGCGCACTTTGAATTCTCCCCCCTGTAGATGGACAGGCCCGTCTTAACCCTACACTGCAGTTTTTAATACATAGCATGGTTAAAACATATGTATGATGTTTTAATACATTATTAATTTTCTGATAAATCAATGCATAGATCCACCATTGTTTTAGATACTAGATCCCGTTATTTTTAATACATGATCCGCACGCGGAGCATGTATTGAAAACGGTACTGTCGCATGACCGCCCATGTTGAAGGTGGCGAGACCTCGACAGCCCTGGCCCTCCGAGGCTGGCAGGGAGGAGGGGGCAGCGAAGCCGCGCGGTGCGGGCCAGAGGCCAGAGCCCTCCTGCCCCCACGGGGGGGGGGGGGCGGAGGACGGTCCACGTTTTCTGAGTTGAGATCGGGGGGGACGAGATCGGGCGGGGGGGAAGCACCGTTGCCAGCTGCATGTCCTGAGGGCAGCGCCCCGACTTGCAATCGCACGGACGTCCGATCCCCGTGCATGATTCGGTATCGTGCGTATGTTTGTTGCTGGATGATCCAGGGTGCTCCTCGAAAGTCCTCGTCGCGTAAACATGTACACGTCCGAGCGATGCCAAGCCGAAGGAGGCCTTCCCCTGGAACAGCCCGTCAAGGAGCTAAAAGAGCCTGAGGCGGGTAGAGGGCCATGCCAATTGCCGCCCTTGTCGAGCGAGGCGAGGACAAGGGTGAATATGCAGGAGGACTGCCCAACACCTCCTTGCACTCAGCCCACCTAGGCGACAAGCAACAATCATCAATGGTCTCAACATACTGGAGCAGAACTCCCTATGGGAAACCTTTGCACGTATACACCGGCGGAACAAAAAACAGTCTGGCAGAAACACAAAACCTCTACAACACCCATGGTTGTCTAGCCCATACGAGAAAAGCTGAAACCACCCTGCCCGATCTAGACCATCTACGAGCAGCGCTGGCCCTCCCAGCGGCGCCTCCGGCGCCGCCCCTGGAACACTCCGCGCGCCAGGGAGGGGGGCCAAGCGCGGATCCAAGAAATCCGGACGGAGCGTCATAAGTGTATGTTTATGGCATATTTTCTTATTCGACCACCAGCATCCTTGTCCCACCTCCTCTCACAGAAAGCACTGCACAGACACAATGTGTCGGAGATCCGGAGCGGATTTCTTGGGTAAGTGCTGGGCCTTCTCCCCTGGTGCGCGCAGAGGGTCGGAGACTGCGCTGGAAGCGCCGCCAGGGCATGTCCAGGGCCGACCCTATAACTCCGCGCCGACCTCCGAGAGTTGCGGTTTCTTCGATCCAGCCGCCTCCTCCTCCTCTCTTCCTCGTCCCCCTCCTCCTCCTCCTCCTCCTCCTCCTCCTCCTCCTTCTTCACCTCCTCTTCCTCGTCCCCCTCCTCTCCCCCCTCCAACCACGGATTTAATCGCGGATACCCTTGCGGTCCTCGTTGTCTGGGCTTCGGGTCATAGCTCAGGCCTCCCGCGGCCATTCAGGACGATGCGGGCACCCCCTGGAACGCCCATGGCGAATCGACGCTCTTGAAACGTACCCCGAGGCAGGACAATCTCGAGGATCCTCCTCCCTCCTCGTCCTCCTGCATCTGCCCCTCCGTCCTCTCCCCCCCTACTCGGGGAAACCAAGAGATAGCGACACAGCGCTACTCCCAAGGCTTCTCCTGGGGTGCGCTCTGACAAGGATTTCGATGCGAATCCAGCAATAACAACGAGGGCCTCCCAGGAGGGAGAGGTGGCTGAGTTGGTATCCTGGCCTCCTCCTCCTCCTCCTCCTCCTCCTCCTCCTCCTCCTCCTCCTCCTCCTCCTCCTCCTCCTCCCCCTCCCTCCCCCTCCCCCTCCCCCTCCCCTTCCCCTCCCCTGCCCCTCCCCCTGCCCCTCTCCCTCCCCCTGACCCTGCCCCTGCCCCTCCCCCTCCCCTCCCCCTCCCCCTCTCCCCTCCCCCTCCCCCTCCCCCTCCCCTCCTCCTCCTCCTCCTCCTCCTCCTCCTCCTCCTCCTCCTCCTCCTCCTCCTCCTCCTCCTCCTTCTCCCCCTCCTCCCCATACTCTCCAACCATGCTCAGACTAAGGAGCGCCTTGTCCACATGCCCGTCTCCGTCCGTGTCGAGCAGGGCGAGCACGTACCCCATGTCGACCGGCGTGTGGGCCGCGGACACCCAGCGGAAAAAGTCCGCCGGCGAGCAGCCTGACAACGACGTGGGGCTTCTCTTGTTGTCGTAAGGAATTTATGCGGGCATGGAGGGGAATCACATTCTTATGTCGTAAGGATTTTCTGCGGGCAGGGGGGGGATACCAATCTTCTTTTGTCGTAGGGGTTTTCTGCGGACATGGAGGGGAAAAACATCCGGAAGCCCAGCAGAGGCTCCTTGAAGAGCCCCAGAAGACCCAGAGTGAACGGTCGCGGGATGGGCCGCAGGCCAACAGATACCTTCCGGCGAACGGAAATAGTCACGCCCAGTCCATGGGAAGCTTGTCCTGCCTTCTTTCTCATCCTCCCCCCACAACCTCCTCCTCCTCCTCCTCCTCCTCCTCCTCCTCCTCCTCGTCCTCGAAGGAGCCGCGATGCATTGGGAGCGTGTCTCTGAAAGTTCCTACACCCCCATGAGCGTAGCATAAAACGAAATGGGTCCTCAAAGAAACAGGTCCTGAGGGAAACTGGTCCTGATCCCTGGGCTTTCCCCAGGACACGTTGTACATCACTAGTTGTTTGCGACAACGTCCCAAGGCCCAAGCAGGACCCAGGGTCATCAAAAAAGGATATCAAACTCAAGTCCCCTTTCTCTGAGGAGCCCTTTCCTCGATGGCGACAGAACCCTGTGCCAAAACATCCAGCGCGAACTGAGAAAAACACCCTCGTGCCAGCAAGGTCTTGCGGAGTGCGGGGAAGAGTCTCTGAGGTCCGAGGCCTCCTTCCAACCATGAACCTCCTCGTCGCTGGAGAGGAGGAGGAGGAGGAGGAGGAGGAGGAGGAGGAGGAGGAGGAGGAGGAGGAGGAGGAGGAGGAGGAGGAGGAGGAGGAGGAGGAGGGGGAGGGGGAGGACAGCTGCTCGACTGCTCCCAAGCATCGGAGAGCGGGCCGCATCGAGGGGGGCGGCAGGGGAGAGAGAGGGGGCAGGGGAGAGAGAGAGGGGGGGGCCCGAACAACACGAGGCGAGGCCTCGATCAGAGGCTCGCCATCGCTCGGACGTCCACTTCCCGTGCATGTTTCGGTTTCGTGCGTGTTTTTTGTTGTGCTCGATGGTCCAGGATGGTCCACGATGGTTCTCGCCGAAAAACATGCACACGTCCGAGCAATGCCAAGGCAGGGGAACGAGGGGGGGGCCCGAACGACACGAAGCGAGGCCTCGATCAGAGAGGCAAGTGAGCTCGACTGTGGGAATCGAGGGGAGGGACCGAAAAAACCTGTTGCGTCGGCGGCTGGGCAGAGTCACTGCGCTGGCGAAAGAGAGGCACGGAGCGCGAGTGAGGTCACCAGGCGGGGCAGGAGGAGGAGGAGGCGCCCGACGGCGGTGGGAAAGAAGGAGAAGCCGGCAGGGGCCGGAAGAACACACGACGCAAGCAAACAGCCCGAACGGGGGACATCAAAGGACTTGCAAGCATGGGCGAAGAGAAGCCCCGTCCTGCGTCCCCTGACACGTCCCCTGCACTAGGATGCAACTCAGGGGAGGTCACCTTCGGCATCGGCGCGGGTAGATCGGTGGTGGAACATGGGCCTAGTCCAGCACAATCCCGCGTAAGCAGGCTTGATCCAACCGAATCCAAAGTTTGATGCGCACTGTTCTGGCTTCATGGCCCCGTATCGTTCTCGCGAAGGCCTCCCAGGAGCTGCTTCCTGACCCCGCACGTCCCACGGCGCGCCCTCTGAGATGTCCGCCCATCACGCCCACCAAAACGTTCCCTGGCCCCCCCCCGACACGCCCCCAGACGCACGCCCCGTGAGAGCGTCCTCAGGTGCGCCCCCTTGTCACGTCCGAAGACACGTCCCCTGGCCATCGCTCGGCCGTCCGTTCCCTGTGTTTTTTTTGTTGGTTCCGTGCGTTGTTTTTCGCCCAAATGATCAAGGATGCTCCTCGATGGTCCTCGCCGGAGGAAAAATGCACACGTCCGAGCGATGCCAAGAGACACGTCCCTGGAGAGGAGGTCCCCTGGCACGCCCCGTGGGGCGCCCCTTGGCGAGTCCACCGACCCGTCCTCTCACACGGCTCTCGGCATGCCCCAAGGATGGGCCCGTGGACAGGTCCCCTGGCACGTCCCGCGGGTCCTCCTCCTCCGCGTCGTCCTCCTCCTCAACCTCCTGATCCTCGTTGTGACCCTCGTCCCCGTCCTCCTCCTCCTCCTCCTCCTCCTCCTTACAGAGGCCCCCTCCCTGTCGCCCCCCCCAGAGGTATCGATAAGGCGAGTCGGCGGTTTCGCCGGAGACTCCCTCACCCTGTGGAATCATGACGCTTGTAATTGGCAACGGCTGCACAGATGGAGAGGGGACAATTTCGAAAAGGTGATCTCGCCTGAGCGCCGCGCACATTCCTCCGAAAGGACTGCAGCCGATACAAGCAAATGGGATCGTATTCAGAATGGGATTCTCGCCGTAGCGCCGCACACGTTTGTCCTCATTCCTTACAGCACTTGAAGAAATGGGCGGCAATGCTTCTTTGATTTGAATTGGACTCTTGCCCCAACGCCGTGCACGTCAGTCTTAAACGCCTCCAACCCCAACATGGATGGAGAGCGGTTGCTTTTCAACATGGGGCCCTCGCCTTAGCGCAGCACATAGATGCCCCGAACATCTGTAGCCCCTAGATTGTTAGAGGGCGTTTCGTTTTTAAAGAGGGAGTATCGCCACATTGCAGCGCAACTTCGCACAGCACCTGACATGATAAGTTCGAACATTGAAACAATTATACGGGCCGAAGGCAGGTCCGAAGTATTCAAAATGTCGCTCTCGCTTGGGACATCCAGAACGCTGAACCACAGATGGAAAGCGATTCCATTTCGAAATGGGGCTCTCACTCCAGGACTCCTGCCACGCAGTACCCAAGTTCAACAATTACACATGTAGAGGATATGCTCAAAACAGGGCTCTCGGTGATCATATCGACGAACAGTATGATCACACCTGCCTACCTGCTCGAATGACTTACATCTCGCTAGCAAGATGCAGTGCATGGCAGTCGCATTTCAAAATGGAGCTATCGCTTGAAACGCATGCCCACAATGTGCTCGTGTTTCATGTGTGCGCTTCTTACCATCAAAACGAAAGCACGCAGGGATTTATACGGGGGGACATCTGACGGGAGGGTGTAATGCAGCACCGCTGAGGTATCTTGCATTTACCCTGGCCCTGCTCATTCCTCTCCCCCTCCTCATCCTCCTCCTCCCCTCCTCCTCCCTCTACTTCATTATGGTTCCTACATCATCCCCATCCTTTCTCATTCTGGCTCATAAACCTTATCCTCATCCGAGCCGCAGCCTGACGAGAGCCAGCCACAGTTGGGGCGAACCCAAGGGCGAAGCCGATGCAGCAGATCAAGATCACCTCGGTATCGCTGAGTCCCTCGGCAGTCGGCAACAGCTCCTGGGACAAGGCCGTCCACGACGGCGACGCGTGCATGAACTCCTCCTGGAGGTGGGTGAGAGATGCGGGGATGACTCGCAGAAAACGACCGTGGAGCTGTAGAGGAGCACGGGCGCGACGCTGCGATGACGGTTGGATGTGCTGCTGGGGCTCCTGCCTCCCAAGTCCTCACTCTCACCTTCTCAAGCGTCCACGGCGACCAAACGTGAGAAAGGACCGAACCAACCGAGAAACCCGACCTGGCCGAACCCGACAGGCCGCAGGTAGCCTAGCAAGGCGCAGCGACGCGGCACCGACACAACAACCGACAGAACCGAACCGACCGATCGCAACCGACTGCGACGAGGCCGAACCTTCCGAACCGCGGACGCCCTTGCCAACGCCGTGGCGCGAATCATAAAGCAAGGTTGGGCGTTTCGGGATTGCCTTGACCGTTTGCCCTGGTCCACTCGCCCCAATTCTCTGAGAACAGCTCCCCCTTGCTCCTCCTCGTCCTTGTCCTCTCGAGCTGCAGGAGGGCGGCGACATCGACGAGGGAGAGGAAGCAGGCGAAGGAGGAGGTGGAGGGCGGATGAGGAGGAGGAGGATAACAAGGAGGAGGAAGCGGAGTAGGATGAGGAGGAAAAGGAGGAGGAGGAGGAGGAAGAGGAGGAGGAGGAGGGGGAGGGGGAGGGAACGGAGAAAGAGGAAGAGGAGGAGGGAGGAGGAGGTGGAGGAGGAGGAGTGGGAGTGGGGGGGGGGGGAGGAGGGGAGGAGGAGGAGGAGAGGCGGAGGAGGAGGAAGGAGGAGGAAAAGGAGGAGGAGGAGGAGGAGGGGGAGGGGGGGAAGGGAAGGAGGAGAAGGAGGAGGGAGGAGGATTGAGGAGGAGAAGAGGAGGAGGAGGAGGAGAAGGAGAGGGGGGGAGGAGGAGGAGGAGGCGGAGGAGGAGTGAGAAGGAGGAAGAGGAGAAAGAGGAAGAGAAAAAGGGGGATGATTGAGGAGGGGGGAGCAGAGGAGGAGGAGGCGGAGGAGGAGTAGGAGGAGGAGGAAGTATGAGGAAGAGAGAAGGAGGAGAAGGAGGAAGAGGAGGAAGAGCGAGGATTAGAGGAGGAAGAGGAGGAAGAAAAGGAGGAAAGAGGAGGAGGAGAAGGATGAGAGGGAGGAGGCGGGTGGGGGAGGAGGGCGGAGGAGGAGGGGGAGGAGGAGGAGGATGCCTTTTTTTTTTTTTTTTTTTTTTTTACTCGACGAGTGGGGCCATGTGCCAAGCTGATGCGTGTCAGCAAACGTGTATATTGAAGGCGGCCCGTCGCTGGATCGGGCTTCTCCTGCCCGTCCTATCCTGGCACAGCTATGCAGGCGAGTGCGCACGGCGATGCTGCGACGCCGAGGCGGGGGTCAGACTGCATGCGAGGGTGAATTGCGCCTCCCTCGGGGGCCCCGTGCACCATGCTGCAAAGGGATGGAAAAAAGGACAGAGTGGCATTCGGCGCTGGCCAATGCGGGGCCGCCCTATTCGTCGAAGCCAAGCGGACAGAAGCAGAAGAGAGGGGCCAGCGCAGACACCGTGACAGCGTATATCGCGGACACCGTGACAGCGTATATCTGAAGCCCCTTTAGGCCCAGGGAGAGACAAGACATTTAGATCTGATCGACGGCAGGCGCGGCAGACTGGGAAAAGGCAGGAGTCGATGCAGCAGCGGTGCCCCCTAAGGTTTCTCCTCTGACAAACACTACTTGCTGAGAGCGTCGAGCCAGCTCGCTAGCTCGTCCTCTAGCCAGCCTGGAGGGGCAGGAAAAGGACGGAGAGGCATTCGGCACGGGCCAATGCGTGTGCGCCCTAGTCGAAGTCAAAAGGACAGTAGTCGTCGTCGACCAGGTCGACTGCAGGCGCCACGGGCTGGGAGGAGGAGGGAGGAGGTGCAGCGATGGTGCCCCCTAGGATGCCACCTCTAACAAACACTACTTGAGGACCTCAAGCCAACTCGCCAGCTCGTCCTCCAGCCAGCCTGGAGGGACTGGGCCTGTGTGGCGGGTGGCCCGCCCCTCTGAAATGAACGCGTGTGTCACTGCACCTCTCATTGGCCACTGCGGGGCCGCAATCTGGATTTTCACTCTGGAATCGTCGTGGCATTTCTCGACCCTGATCGCGGCCACGTCGAGCTCTATATTCATCCTCGTGACTACTGGCTCTACTCCTGGTGCCGCTGGGGTGATGCCGTCCAAGTACGCTGCGATGTCCTTCTTGCTCTTGCCGCCAATGTCGCAGCGCATCAAGCTCTCGAGAAGGCCTACCACGAGCGAGGCGACGGGGCTGCCGATCTTCTGGAGGGCCTCGATTCCCGTCTGCCTCGCCTCCTCGGTGGCCTTGCGGTAGTCCACCAGCACGGCCTCTAGCTTCTGCGCCACCTCGTGATCTTTCTCGACCGTGAAGGTGTCTATGATGGTTGCCGCCATCATCCTCAGCTTGAACGTGTTCTGAAGGGTGAGCTTGCGCAGGGTGCTGAGGAGGGATTGCATGTTGGCGTCCTTCGAGGTCCACTTCTTGTCCGTGTGGTTCGCACCTCGTCGTCCGCGTCGGCCACCTCGATGTCCTTTGCTCTTGCCCTTGCCGCCCTTGCCGCCGTCCTTGGCTGCGCCCTCGACCGCCGTCATCGTCTTGTCGCCGTCCTTGTCGCCGTCCTTGTGTCTCTTCGATGCAGGAGGCGCCGAATCGTCTCTTCCAGAGGGCAGCGAGGCAAGGGAGGAGCCCGTCAGGAGCCACGCAGGAGGTGGCTTGGCTCGCTGGTTCTGCTCGTCCTGGGGGCGTGCCGCCGCCGCCGTCATGGCTCTCGAAGGGCAGGAGCTGGGGTGTTGTCGCGGCTGTTACCCGCGACGATGTATATTTCCGAGCTGATGTCTCTGGTGGTGCCGAAGATGCTCTGGCTGCACCTGTCGGTTGGGCTCTCGCAACTGCTGGTCTCCGCGCCCGGCCGGGTGGAGGGGCTGCTGCTGGTCGAACGAGTTCTTGATAGCTGGCTCGTAGTCTGTCTCGTTCGTCTGGTGTGTCCACTGGCCTCCACGCTGGCGGCGGCGGAGGGACGCGTGCGGGAAGGTCGCGTCTGCTGTGGGCTGGCTGAGGCTGAGAAGTCTTGAGCCAAGATCCTGACGGACACGGTGGGATGTGTGCGCGAAGATGTGCTCTGAATGCCATTCGATCACTGTATTCCATTTGACATCCAGGGAGGTCGCACTGGTCCTTCAATGGACAGGTCATCGATTCAGCCGTACTCCATTCATATGTGTGCCTCGTCAGCTCAGGGACGCATCGACCCGACATCCACGCTCGAAACAAGTGTCTCCTCGTGTGATCAATACTGCTGAAGACAGTGTCGCAGTTGACGCATTTATTGTCCACGCAAATCTGGGAGAGAACGAGGGGCGTGCCGTGGCCACGGAGGGTTGTCGCATTGAGCTGGTGCTTGACCAGCTCGCGATTCGTAGTGAAGCGCGCACGGCATCCTTCAATCCCGCATACGAGTGGGGCGAGCTCCTCTTCCTCGCTGTCTGTGTCGCCAAGGGGGTCATCGCTCGGGAGCTGTTGGGCGACGTGCTCAGGGGGGGCCCACTCTTGTCCTCGCACCGTCGATCTCATGACACGGAAATCACACGCACGGAAGGCCTCCGAAACTTCAGGATTGCAAAATAGGTTCTCTAGGGTGCGGGGCTCCCAGAGTACTCGGACATCTTCGCCCACGGGGTGAGACAGGGCCGTCTCGAGGTCCTCGCGGAACTGGCGGGCCCAGGGGTGCACGTCCATGGACGGGTTGAGTTCGCCATTCTCAAGAACTGTGCGTGCTGCTGCTGGTGCTCCTGCCGCGCGCGCCCGTTCCTCGAACCTGCACTCTCCAAAGAAGGCACTGAGGTAGTGACGATGGTGTTCTGGATTGTTCATGATCGACTGCCACCACCCCAACCTCCTTATCGTCAGCTCCACCACCGTGGGCGGGAGTTGCCATTCTTCGAAGACAGCTCGGGACGTGAGGGACGCGTGGGTGCCGTCTTCGTGCTCAACATGCGCCGCACCCGCCATCATCGCCCTCATCTTCTTTGCGAGGGAGGTGTCGAGGGTCCGAATCTCCAAGGGGGTGAGTACATACGCTTCCAATCCAGACCAGACACGGCCAGCAACGTTGGCCAGAAAGGTACTCCTCTTACTCCTCCACGGGCCAGGCACGCTCCAGTACTTACGTAGGTTGCACCATCCTATGGATCCTGCGCGTACTCGTGCTTGCACCTCATGTTTGTTGCTGCCGTTTACATTAATGTACCCCCCCCCCAAGTGTTTGAAACTCATCATCGTGCTCCCCGATGCCCGCTCCTCCGCCTCCTTCGTGTCCCTGCATGTCGCTAGATGTACGAGAGTCTCTTGCTTCTGAACGTGTTGTGCATATCCGCCCTCCTCGGGATACTTGTTTAAACTCTGGTTATCAAGGTGGTCGAGGCTCACGGCCTCGCGTGCTGTTCCACTCGGTATGATCAGGACTCGGATCAGGTCGTCAATGAAGCCGCCAAAGGCGAGGTCGTCCCATCTGTCGTGTAAGGGGCCTCTACACGAAAGGCTGTCTCCAATGATGGTTCCGAGTTCACGCTGCCACGCACTGACAATCGGGTAGAAGGACTCCATAAACAATTCTGGCTCACTCGAGTCGCCCATCCTCCCTCCCGTCTTCGGTGTCATCGCCACGTCCCCGTCGCTCGCCTCATAGTACAATATTCCCGTGCTCCTATGATGTGTGAGAAGCTCATCGAAATATTCGTCGACACCACGTGACCGATGTGCGTTGTGCAAGCGTTCCTGATCCCCCGTGCCAAACGCGTTCCTCATGTCGTATGATTTGACAATGTAGTAGTGTTTGCACGTGCGCAATTTCCACATGACGAGTTTGATCACGATCATGAGTCCCTCCCTCCTCCTGTGTATTATGCCACCGTGCGCCCATGTAGGGGGGTCGAACGTGCTACCATAGTCAACTAGTCCCACACGTAGTAGAAGTCGCCACCAGTGGCAAAAACAGTGAAGAAGTCTCAGGCATCGTGTGATATCCACGACCGTGTTTCCTGTTGGCAGCTTACCTGGCTTGCTTATGGCTATGGCATGGCTGGTGCGCGCGTGCTGTGGTAGTAGCCACCGTGCTCGAACGTGCGATAACAACTGTACCAGCATGTCGTATCCTGCCCGAGCCTGGACGTCATCAATTACAAGCTGGCGCCGAGGGCGGGTAGCCTGCGCCTTGAAGTCCAACAGGTCTGGGTCGCGGGCTCGCCATGCGGAGCCTATACCCTCGCGTGAGTTGCTCGGCCTGAAGAGGACCGAGGGGAAGAGGAGTAGCTTCGTGACCTCCACTGGCCACGACCAAGGTGGCGCATACCTACGGTGGTGACAGTGGCGTAACCTTGCCTTCAGGAAGTCTAGGTCTTCTGTCGCACACTCGATATCCTCGATCGCGGGCAAGGACAAACCTCTGGGGCCGTACGCTGGGAGCTCCTCTAGGGGGGCCTCGATCAGGGTCTTGATCTTATCTGGGTTCATGTGGACGCTTAAGACCGTGTCGACCGCCGTGAGCCCCCCCTCGATACCAGGTTTCTTAAGGGCTTCTCTGAAGTCGGTCGAGTTGGGGCGGCACATCGGGAGGGCGAGATCGCTTCTTTTCCTGGGTCCCGTTCTGGTACCAGCTCGAAGTCGGACGAGTTTGCCCACTCTAGCTTGATCCCGTACCTCCCATGCCTCCCTGATCTCCTGCTCGAGCGACTCCTTCCTCCACCACTCCTTCCACCTCGCGTGCGCCTTGATCATCGAGTCGATTCGTCGAAGTGGTTCGCAATCAAGCCGAAATCCCTGGTCCCGCATACTAGCCCTCCAAATCAGCAGTTCTCGTCTCTCCGCTTTGGCCTCCTGGACCCAGTCTGGAACGGAGTGTTCAGCCGAAAAAAATTCCCGAGCGACCTCCCTGATGCTGTGCGCGACGACGCCGGCGTGCCTGGTCGGCTCGCCGTCCGTGGTGAGGGCTCTGCACAACACTCTCCTCTCCCCCCAGACCTGCCCCATCCTGGCCAAGAACTCCTCTCTTCGATACCCTGTCTGAAGCGAAGCGGCCAGGGCCCCCCAGTCCCACTGGATATTCTGTTGTTGATCACGGGGGGTGGGTGCTGGAAGGGATAGCCTCAGACACATAGGGACATGATCGATCATGCGTGGGAGGGCTTGGAGTCTCTTCTGAGATTTCCAGAACATATGCATTTGGATTCCCGTGTCCAGTAATGCTCGAGGTCCTAGAAAATAATCGATACGACTCCTAGCTCCCTGAAGCCCGTAAAAAGTATGTCCCAGGTCGAAGAATGTGTTGAGGAAGCTCATCTGGCTGTCGGCATACGACCTACGGGTAACTGTGGCAAGCTGATCTTCATGCTCGGCCTGGAAGGGTCCAATATATTCGTCGTGGGAAACCGTGCTCCCTTTCCGTCCCATCCGAAGGTTCGTACCAGCGAAGACTATGGGTGTGATGCGCCCTGGGGCGTGGTCAATCTCCTCTTTAATCCAGGCTGTGAGCTGTCTACAAGTAGTACGCCATATCTGGATGCGACCTACCGAGCTGGTTCTGGGAGGGTAGTATCCCACGATTAACCGTAGTCGTAAGGGTCCACGCTGGAGGTCTATGCTGCCAGCTCGTCCTTGCAAGTGGTGAGGCGGGTGGTTGATTCGTACGATATGTCTCTGCTGAAACTGGCGGCTGGATACTGCAATAGCTACTCCCGCGGCCGAGTTCGTACTACCTCCCCTGCCCCATCCCCAGTGGATCCAGTGGTGATCGGGGGTCCTCTCGTAAAAATGGGCATGGCCCAGGCGCATCGGCATCTTCGTGCCAGGGAGCAGGATGGCTGTTGTCTTGGCGAACTCCATTGAGATCGCGTCGGCTCTGCCTGTCCGTACTAAAGTATATGGATTATATCCAATAAATGTGGCACGTATTCGTGAGGGGGGTGTTGCTGGTGATGGGGGAGACGCGATACTCTCGCCCTCTGTGATCCCCTCGGCCCGATCTGTCGACTCGACCTGCTCGTTAATCGTCTTCAGGCCCCGACCCATCATGATGCCCTGGTTACCTATGTCCTTCCCCCCCCTCGTGATCACCGTTTCCTGGTCCTTGATCCTCTCCTCCTCCCCCGCGTCCTTCTCCCCCATGCCTCCTGACCCCCCCCCTGGCGGAGCACCGCGGCGCGGGGCCGCACCACGGTGCCAGGGGGGGTCGCAGCGCCCCGATCCTGGCGGGTCGAGGGCGCGAGCGCGGAAGGGTGGCAAAGGCCGCCACATTCGTGGGCCTGAGCCGTCCGCGGCCTTGGAGGAGGAGGAGGAGGGGGAGGAGGAGGAGGGGGAGGAGGAGGAGGAGGAGGAGAATGCGAAGGAGGAGGAGGAGGAGGACGAGGAGGAGGAAGAGGATGAGGAAGAGGAGGAGGAGGAGGAGGAGGAAGAGGAAAAGATGGAGGAGGGGGAGGCGCGCACCACCTGGCGCGACGGGAGATCCGAGGCGCGGGCAGCTAGGAGATGGAACGCCCTCTAGGGGGAGGGACTTACCAGGGCCTGGAAAGAAAGGCACGGCCCTGAACAGCACGGGTGGGGGGAGGGGGGCATCAAATTTTTGCAGCACCTACCTCGGCCAAGCGGCCGAGGTGGCACCCGACAGCC